TCCCTGCTGACCAGCTCCTCCACCTGGGCTACCCAAGCACTTTCATGGCCCACTTTGTGGAGGGCTTTGAAACCACAGGCCAGAATTACAACATCATGTGCAATCACCTGAGGTTTAACCCCTTGGAGGTAAGAAAGAGCCGCGACACCTGAGGAGAAACTTGGTTGGGACAGGACTAACTGTGGTGGTGTTCACAAGGGTCCCAGGACGAGGGAAGGGATGGGGATCTTGACTCCATGATTCAGAAGGCTGACTTATTATTTTATTATATATATCAGAAGGCTGATTTATTATTTTATTATATATATTATATTAAAAGAAAATTAGATATTAAAACTATTCTAAAAGAATAGAAGAAAGGATTTCATCAGAAGGCTTGCAAGGAATAGAAAATAATGGAATGAAAATAAAATCTTGTGACTCACCAGAGAGTCTGAGACAGCTGAACTGTGATTGGCCATTAATTAAAAACAACCACATGTGACCAATCAAAGATGCACCTGTTGCATTCCACAGCAGCAGATAATTATTGTTTTTCTTTTCCTCTGAGGCTTCTCAGCTTCTCAGGAGAAAAAAATCAGCAGAATTTCATAAAATATGTCTGTGACAGACTAATCTCTTCTTCCTCCCACAAACAGGTGAAAAAGGTGATGGCAGCCAACACCTTCTACTTCTCCATCCTGAGGAACCCCATCCCTCTGCTGGAGTCTTCCTACATCTACTACAAGGACTATGTGCCTGCCTTCAGGAGCTCCAAGGACGTGAACGAGTTCCTGGAGTCACCCACGAGGTATTACCAGCCAGCAGATCACAGGAGGAACATCTACGCCAGGAACATCATGTGGTTTGACTTCGGCTACGACAACAATGCCGACGATGACACCAACTACACCCAGGCTGTCCTGGAGCAGATCGAGCACAACTTCCACCTCATCCTGATAGCAGACTACTTTGATGAGTCCATGATCCTCCTGAAGCACACTTTGTGCTGGGATCTGGATGATGTCATTTACTTCAAGCTCAATTCCAGGAGCCAGGACACGGTCCAGACGTTGACTCCGGAAAGTGAGGAGCAGATAAAAGCCTGGTGCTCGCTGGACTGGAAGCTCTACCTGCACTTCAACCAGAGCTTCTGGAGGAGGATTGAGGAGACCATAGGGCTGGAGGTGCTGGAAAAGGAGGTGGATCACCTGCGGAGCAGACAGAGGGAGCTCATGGAGACTTGTCTGTCAGAGCAGGAGGCAGTGAGGAAGGACCACATCAGGAATAAAGCTCTCCTGCCTTTCCAGTCAGGGGCTGCAAATATCCTGGGCTACAACCTCAAACAAGACTTGGACAACACAACTCTGAGAACCTGCCAGAAAATGGTCATTCCAGAGCTCCAGTACACCTCCTACCTTTATGCTGTCCAACACCCGCACAAGAAGAGGAAAGATGTGGGATTGCCATTGCTGTGGACCAGTCTCCAGGAGAAGATGCAGCTCCCAGGGCCCAACTAGGACGTGTGGCAACCCACTGTGGCTTCCCACTGCTTTGCATCCCCCTTTGTCTGACATGGAACTGCCCCACAGGACCCTTGTGCATGAGGGGGAGGCACTGGGGGCTTTGTTGAGGGACACCAAGTTGGTGGTTGGTCTCTTTTTGGGGACCTTGAGCCAAAGGCTTTGCATTGTCCAGGCGCTGGGTGATCCCACCTGGCTGCTCCTGGCTGGAGGGAGCCCGGCTGGCTGCAGCTGGCCAAGACATTCCAGCCTCTTAATCATTAATCAGGAGCATGATCATTTGCCTTCATTTGGTTTTATTTGATATCCACCGCGGCATCAGTCTGGTCACAGCTCGCTGGAGCAGGTCCTGACTTTGGAGGGTTTAGGGGAGGGAAGTGAGGGGGCTGTGACAAGGGGACACAGGGGAGATGGTGGCTGTGACAAGGGGACACAGGGGAGATGGTGGCTGTCCCATCCAGCAGCATCCACGCTCACTGAGGGCAAACCACCACACTCTGCTGGAGCTGCCTTTGCTGTGGCAGTGCCAGGCATCTCCCCAGAGCCAGGGAGGCTGCCCCTTGCCCAGGCAGGTAAGCTGTGCCTCTCACAGGTGTCACCGCATGTGCCTCTGTCCCCTGTGGGAGAGCTGGGTGCTTCCCTGGGAGGAGGTTTTGTGGTTTTGCCCCTCATTCTCAGGCAAGGGTGCCTGGGCATGGATGTTCCTTTGGGTGCAGCATCCCCAAAGCCCTTTTTTGGCAAAGCAGACACTTTTTAGGGGCTCCCATTGCTGTGTGGGCCAAACTCTCCAGCACAGATTAGGAGGGGATGGAGTGAGGCTCAGCTTTGGGCACACTGGTGCATCCAGCTCCCTGCTGCTGCCCTGAGCAGGAGGAGATGCTGGCCCAGCTTTAAGACATTGGGGCTTTATCAGTGTAATCTGGCACTGACAAATGTGTTGGGAGCAGGTGACAGTGACACCAAATCCATTGGGCTTGGGGCTGCCATCCTCACAGACCTTCCTGGCTCCAGCAGCAGGGCCCTGGATGCCAGGGTGGGGAGGGTGGGTCTGGGGTCCAGGTGTTGCCTTGGGGGTGAAGCTGTGGGGCAGCAGCCCCAGCTGGGAAGGGGATGCTGTCAGGGGGAGAGGGGTGAGAAGCAGATTTTCCTCAGTTGTGTTCAGCAGCTGCTGAGGCAGGGGTTAACCAGCCCAGCAGGAACAACCCAGATTAACAGCACTTTGCCTCACTAAAATTAACCCGAGGCTTTTGTAGCAGCCAGGTGGAGCTACAGGAGCCACACTTGGTCACCCTGGGCCATCCCAGGGGGCCCTTCCTGAGCAGTTCTGCATCCTCCACCTCAGCTTTCCCCTTGGAGCTCCTGATCCGTGGTTTTGATATGAATTTTGTCAAACCCTTTTAGCTAAACTGATCACAGAGATGGAATATCGGAATATAGGTATAAAAATGGTTTCTGAGTAGCTGATCTGTGTGCAGGTCTGGGAAGTCTGGGGATCCTGGGGAGGGCTGGGGTTCCTGGGAAGTTTGTGGATTTTGTGGTGCTGGAGGTCCTGATAGGGCTGGGGATCCTGGAGAGGCTGGGAGGGCTGGAGAGGCTGGGATTCCGGGGAAGTTTGTGGATTCTGTGGTGCTGGGGATCCTGGAAAGGCTGGGAGGGCTGGGAGTCCACAGAAGGCTGGGGGTCCTGAGAGGGCTGGTGATCCTGGAAAGGCTGGGAGGGGTGGGGATCCTGGGAAGTTTGTGGATTTTTGTGGTGCTGGGGATCCTGGAAAGGCTGGGAGGGCTGGGGGTCCACAGAAGGTTGGGGGTCCTGGGAGGGCTGGGAGGGCCAGGGTTCCTGGGAAGTTTGTGGATTCTGTGGTGCTGTGGATCCATGGAAGGTTGGGGGGTCCTGGAAAGGTTGGGAGAGCTGGGGATCCATGGAAGGTTGGGGGTCCTGGGAGGGCTGAGGATCCTGGAAAATTTGTGGATTCTGTGGTGCTGGGGATCCTGGAAAGGCTGGGAGGGTTGGGGATTCATGGAAGGCTGGGGGTCCTGGGAGGGCTGAGGATCCTGGAAAGGTTGGGAGAGCTGGGGATCCACGGAAGATTGGGGTCCTGGGTGGGCTGAGCCCCTCTGTCCCACATGTCCCAGGCTGGGGAGCTCACAGAGGGGTGCACTGTGGTAAGCATGGACTGGAGCCCCAGGACAGTGCAGTGTGGCCTCTCCCAGGCTGCAGGAGGAGGGAAACTGAGGCAGGAGATGCCATGGCTGCCCTGGCTTCCCCTCGGGGCTCCGGGCAGGGTGTCTGGGCAGCCTCAGGGCCCCGCTCTGGCCATAAGGGCTCCTTTGTGCGCCGCTGCTGAGTCAGGGATTCGAGCGGGGACCCCGTGACCAGCGGAGGGGGGACCCTGCGGGACAGGGGGGCCGAGCAGGGAGGGCACAGCTCTGCCCAGAGCCGGCATCGCTCCATGGTGGGACACAGAGGGGACACGCAGCTGAGCGGGACACGGTGAGTGCCATCGCTTTCTCGGGGGGGTATTGGATCAGCAAAAGCTCCTGATGAAGCCACAGACGGCAACTCCAGCTGAGCCTGGGGTGGATGCCATCTCCCTTTGTGGTGCTAACCTCCAGGGAAATGTAAGGATATTTAAGCAGGGCACAGCTGACCTGTCCCTGAAGGAAAGGATCTTTGGGGACAACTCTCACTCGGTGCCACAGGGACAGCCCGGCTGGGGACCCCCTGTCCGTGCTGAGCAGCTCAGGATCCCCCCACAGAGGAGCGGGAACAAGGGCTCAGCTGGGTGCGTGTCACTGGAGGCAGCAGGGACACAGGAGCACCTCTGACCCTGCCACCATGAGCCTGGGCTGCTCCGGGGTCTCCTCTGTGGGCTCTGCCCTCCCAGTGCATGGAGCTGCAGGGCTTGCCCTGCTCTCTGCTCACCGGCCTTGATTTCCCAGACAGGCATCCTAAAGATCAAATTCATTTTATTTCATTTATTTTGGGGTTCCCAGCTCAGCCTCCTCGCTGGCACCCTGACCCATCTCTGAGCTGTGGTGACTCGCCAGCACACACTCAGCCCATCTCCACCCCATCCCTGCTCCCGGGGGGCTGCCCCGACCCCAGCCCACCAAATAAACCCCAAACCCTTCCTAGGACAGCCCCACACCCCTGGCCATGCCCCGCTGTCGCTATGGGACACGAAAGAACACAAGCACACACTGCTGTTCTCAAGGTGAAGAAAAAAGGGAAGTTTATTTTCCGACTCCAACACTTATAGTTTTTCTAAAAGTGACAGTGGATTGGAGGGTGACAGTGCCGCCTTTCCAATGACACTGGACAAACCAACAGTCCGTCAGCTTTCTCCTCCTCCATAAAGGAATGCAAAACAACGAGTTATTTACAGAAAGTGTGTCAGAAAGCCCGCTACAAGAATGTTAATATTAGAAAGCTTAGAAAATTTTTAAAAATCAGCAGCCGCTCCCCCCGCCTTCATCCATCATCCCAGCGTATCCTTGTGCTGCAGCCGCTGCCATGGGCTCCCGGCACTTCCCGGCGCGGACCGTGCTGTTCGAGAGGGAGTCCAGCGGTGTCACCTACCGTGTGCCCGCCCTGCTCTACCTGCCCTGCGGCGCCAAGCTGCTGGCCTTCGCCGAGGAGCGCCTCAGCGCCGACGATGCCCACGCCAACCTGCTGGTGCTGCGCCGCGGCTCCATCTACGGCACCTACGTGGAGGTGGGACACGGTGTGCCAGCCTGGGGACACACTGGGGATGTCCCCATCGCATGGTGTGCCACAGCCGCACGGGGAGGGGAGCATGGCTGGGTGGAATCACAGGGCCACGGGTTGGTTTTAGTTGGAAGGGATCTCAAAAGCCATCTCACTCCATGCCCTGCCATGGGCAGGGACGCCTTCACTATCCCAGGTTGCTCCAAGCCCTGTCCAGTCTCAGAATCTCTGCTGGTCAGAGTGACTCTGAGATATGTACAAGTCTCTTTTTCCCAGCCTGGCAATCATAAGGAGTCAGGATTCTTTTGTTCTCGTTCTCAAGGTTGTTTGTTATTTCTTATCTATAGCATTCTTTCTCTGACCCACTGAGGTATGTCTGGCAGGTCGGGTTGAGGCACTCTGCCCGCCTCAGCGGTGGTATTATCTTTTTATACTAAAAACTACATGTACAATATTTACCATAACTTCCCAATACCTATCACCTATGTTAGACAGTGAGTTTCTACCTTAAACCAATCTAAAAGTGTCAACATCACCTGGAACATGGAGGCTAGGAAGAAGAAGGAAGAAGGACAGGGTATGCCCAAATTCCTCCATCTTGGGACTCCAAGCCCTCATTCTAAAAACCTCAAAAATCTGTTTTTTACCCTGTGACAAACTAACTATTATGACAAACTAACTATTATTCGACTTAAGCTCTCTTGCCTTGTAATTCTTCATATAAAGGTGGTAATTTGCTCCATGGGTCAAAATCAAAGGCATAGGTGTCTTGGGCTCTGTGCCAAGGTCTCTGAGCCCCCTGTCAGGGTCTCGAGTCCTCCAGGGCAATCCAAGGAATTTCCTGGGTTCCAACAATCCAGCCCAGCTGGGAACACTTCAGGGATGGGGCAGCCACAGCTGTGGGCAAAATCTGGGATGGTCCTTACCCCTGTGTGTCCTCTCCTCCTCCTCCTGCTCCGTGGGCAGTGGGAAGACATGCGTGTGCTGGAGACGGCCACGCTGCAGCACCACCGCTCCATGAACCCCTGCCCGCTCTACGACGAGTTCACGGGCACCCTCTTCCTCTTCTTCATCACTGTGCTGGGCAGGACGCCCGAAGCCTACCAGATTGTCACCGGCCAGAATGTCACCCGCCTGTGCTGTGTCACCAGCGCCGACCAGGGCCTGAGCTGGAGCACGGCCACAGACCTGACACAGCAGGTCATCGGGGCCACCATCAAAGGTACCCAGCTGGGGGAGAGGGGATGTGACCGTGTTCACAGGGGTCTGAGGATGAGGGAAGAGATGAGGACCTGACTTCAAGTTTCAGAAGGCTTGATTTATTATTTTATGGTATACACTATATTAAAACTATACTAAAAGAATAGAAGAAAGGATTTCATCAGAAGGCTGGCTAAAAATAGAAAAAGAAGGAATGAATAACAAAAGCTTGTGGCTCGGACAGAGAGTCTGAGCCAGCTGACTGTGGTTGGCCATTAATCAGAAACAACCACATGAGACCAATCCCAGATGCACCTGTTGCATTCCACAGCAGCAGATAACCATTGTTTATATTTTGTTCCTGAGGCCTCCCAGCTTCTCAGGAGGAAAAATCCTAAGGAAAGGATTTTCCATAAAAGATGTCTGTGACAAGGGGACTGCAGCCAGCACGGGGCTGGCCCTGGCTTTTGCTCTCCTGGAGCCATCCGTGACATTGCTGGGGGTGACTTTGACATGGGAATCTCACAAGCTTCCAAAAAGGTGGAGGAGGAACTCAAGCAGAGGGGGCTGGAGAAGGGATGGAGGGAGTGTCCATATCAGTTAGTGGGAGTGGGGAGAAGACGGAGAGGCATGTGTGGGGACAGCTAGGCAGCACTGGGCTCTGTTGCCACCACTTGGCTTGGCTTGACTGAGAGGAAGCCCCGGGGACCCTCCCACGCTGGGCATGGCAGGGCACCGTGGTGGTCGCTCTTTACCCCACCCCACCTTCACCCCATGCCGCCTCCTCTCCCCAGACTGGGCGACGTTCGCGCTGGGCCCCGGGCACGGCATCCAGCTGCGCTCGGGCCGGCTGCTGGTGCCCGCCTACAGCTACCACATCGACTGCAAGCAGTGCTTCGGGCAGCTCTGCAAGACCACCCCGCACTCCTTCGCCTTCTACAGCGACGACCACGGCCGCGCCTGGCGCTTCGGCGAGTTCATCCCCAACCTGCAGTCGGGCGAGTGCCAGCTGGTGTCGGTGGATGAGGAGGACGGGTCCAACGTGCTCTACTGCAACGCCCGCAGCCCGCTGGGCTTCAGGGTGCAGGCGCTGAGCACGGATGACGGCGCCGTGTTCCACGGGGGGCAGCTGGTGCAGCGGCTGGTGGAGCCGCCCCACGGCTGTCACGGCAGCGTCGTCGGCTTCCCCGCACCGCTCGTGTATGTCCCCGCTGCCTCCCGGGACACCGGGGTGCCCTCCCGGGGCTCGGGGTGCCGGCTGCTCCCCGGGGCGCTCCGGGGGTTTGGGCACTCACCCACACAACAGGCAGGATGTGCTGAGCTGCCCGCTGGCAGCCACCGTGAGCCCCACGAGGACTGTGCCACCCTAGGGCAGCACGGTGATGCCCACAGTGTCACCTCGGTGCGGGGGCACTCTGCAGCCAGCCCCAGCCCCGCTCCCTTCTTCCAAGCGCCGACGTGGATCCTGTACTCGCACCCCACCAGCCCCATGTCGCGGGTGAACATGGGCGTCCACCTGAGCACCTTCCCCAGGGACGCCGAGAGCTGGACGGAGCCCTGGGTCATCTACGAGGGCCCGAGCGCCTACTCGGACCTGGCGTGCCTGCAGCTGCCGCAGCGGGACGCGCCCCTGGCCGGCGGCACCGCCACCGCCTTCGCCTGCCTCTACGAGAACGGCGTGAGGAGTCCCTACGAGCAGATCTCCTTCAGCATGTTCACGCTGCACGACGTGCTCCAGAACATCCCCCTGACAGCCGCTGCTCCCCCGCGGGGGAAGAGGAGGAGGAGGAGGAGCTGCTTCATCTCCTAGAACCCGCCCAGGGCAGCTCCCCCATCACCACCCTGGATCCTGGAGCATCAACCCTCGGCTGGGTCCTGCCGCCGTCCAGCACGGCCACAGCACACGGAGGAGTGTCACTGTCCCCTCAATGGGGTTTGTCTCACTTTTATTGCTGTTTTTTAAATTCTGTTTTGGGTGGGGAGGCTTTTGCCCCAGCTCTGGTGGTGTTCACAGGGGTCTCAGGATGAGGGAAGAGATGAGAATCTTGACTCCATGTTTCAGAAGGCTTGATTTATTATTTTATTATATATATATTGTATTAAAAGAAAATGATATATTAAAACTATACTAAAAGAATAGGAGAAAGGATTTCATCAGAAGGCTTGAAAGGGATAGAAAGGAATGGAATGATAATAAAATCTTGTGACTGACCAGAGAGTCCGAGCCAGCTGACTGTGATTGGCCATTAATTAGAAACAACCACATGAGACCAATCGCAGATGCACCTGTTGCATTCCACAGCAGCAGGTAACCATTGTTTACATTTTTTTTCTGAGGCCTCTCAGCTTCTCAGGAGAAAAAATCCTGGCAAAGGGATTTTTCATAAAATATGTTTGTGACACCCAGCCCAGCCTCAGGCTCCTCTCCAAGCAGGAGCCACCTCTGGAAACAAATATTGGGGGGCAGCAGCAGCAGTGCAGGGGGAGGCAGCCAGGGGTTTGGGTTGGGGTAAAGTTCTGTTCCTTCATTGTAGCTGGGATGGGGTTGGGTTTTATATTTGGGCTGATGATAAAGAAAATCTTGTATTGCATTTCTGTCTGTCTGGGGTTTTAGTGATTTTTCTTTGTTATTTTCCTTTTCATTACAATTTATTATTATTATTTCAATTATTAAAGTGTTTTTATGGCAACCCAGGAGATGTCTCACATTTACCCCTCCAATTCTCTCCCCCTCCCACGGCATGGGGGTGAGTGGCTGTGTGGTTCCCGTGTGCCAGCTGGGGTTCAGCCACCCCAATGGCCCAGTTGCTGTTTTGTCTGCTCTGGGATTTGGGTTTTTAATGTGCCAGGGCCATCAGGGCTCTCCTCTGACCCTTGTCAGTCTGGGGACAAACCCCCTCCCAGCCCATCAGGCCCACGCTGGGTCCTGTAAGATTTGGGGAGGGGTTGAGCACAGGAGTGGGGTCCTGCCCTGGGGAACGAGCAGCAGCTGCTCCTGACACTTGTGCGTGGTGAAATTTGGGGGTTACACCTCAACTCCTGCTCTGCCTCCCCCAGCACAGCTCCATCCGAGTGCCCAGCTCAGCTCCTCAGGCTCCTTCCCCTGCCCTGTGCAGGGGACAAACACCAGCTCAGCTGCCCTAAACATGAACTGATTAACAAAACTGATTAACAAGAACATCCAGCTCTTCAGCCTGTGACACCACCATGCCTCATTTTCCACCAGGGGGGGTGGAGGCTGACAAGTGACAGACAACGTGTAGAATAGAAATTTTCAGTTCCCTTGATGTTGCAAAATAGAACTTAAAGACTAACTGGAAGTGAGACAAAAGGGTGTAAAAGTCACACACACAGGATGCTAAACACATCTGGAACCACTGGAGAAACAGGTAATGAGGAACACGGTGACTTTTGTGGCAAAGTTATGTAACAAGAAACAGCAGTGCCCTGAGAGAGGTTCAAGGCAAGGTCACAGCATTGGGGCACTGAGTAGAACCAGCAGACACCCCTGCAGACAAACCTCTAGGATCAAAAATCCCTTCCAGGAAGGGATGGAGGCATGGAAACTGGTTCTAGGCAAAGTGTTCTCTGGGAAGCCCCTTGTAATGAACCTGTCTGACCATGGTGGAACAAACCCTGCAGTGAAGCCCCACAGCACACATTTGGTCAGAGGAGATATCCTGCGTGTGTCCAGCTCTGGGATAAGGAGTGCCTGCTCTCTAATGCTCCAAATTATGTCAGGAAATGTCCTCTGCCTCCTTTCAGTATCTTGAGGTATCCTTTCGGTTCTTCTCCTTTCAGAATCACAAGGAGTGGCCGAGGCAGCTGCTGGCAGCCAGGTCCTCCCCTCCATCCCTTACCAGGCCAGTCCCAACCCCAAATGTTGGGAGGGGACACGGCCCAGGCCAGGGATGTGCACAGGAGCAGCCCTTGGCTCCTCATCCCCACGAGCTGCTCCAGCCCTGGGGTGTCCATCCATCCCCTGGGGCTCTGTCCTTCTCACACCGGGCTGGTGTCACCGCTCCTGCTGCGCCCTCTGTGCCAGCAGCCAGGGACACCCGGGGTGGCACCTCCTCCTGGCAGGGCCCTACTTGCCATCACAGGAGCCACAGAGGCAGCCCAGGAGCCCGTTGAGGATCTGGAGCAGCGCCAGCAGCATCTCGGCGGCGCTGACCAGCAGCAGGAGCGAGAAGAGCGCCACGTGCCAGGCCACGATGCCCTCGGGCTCCAGGCAGGTGCTCCAGGCGCTCCGGTTGTACAGGTAATTCTCAGCCCTGGGTGACAGCAAGGGGACAAGGTTCTCTAGGATCCGCAAAACATCCCCCAGACACCCCACTCTTCATGCAGAGGATGAGCAGAATAAAAGCTTAGAAGCAAAAAAAGCAAGGAGCAGGTAAGAAAAAGAGTGGTTAGAAGCACCATGTGTACTCATGTATGTGAATCTTAAAGAGGATTATTTTGACAGGAGGGAAAGAAACCTATACAATGACTAATTCTGCCATCTCTCTGCGAATTCACCTGACCACTGGAAGCAAACTCATGGAAGCTCACGTCAAGGTGTTGCAGCACAAAATCATTGGAATAGAACATAAATAACGGGTTCAGATATGATGAAATGTTGGTAAGAGTCTGAAGTAAAGAAATGGGAGCAGTGGGGTTCAAAGAGTGAATACAAAGGGGTGATTCCACTTCATAATAAACAAACAGTGCTGCAACTTCTTATTTGAGTTCTATTCTGTTACCTGACGTTGCAATTACCTCAGCTGGGCGTTGGGAGGGTTGAAGATGGAAAGCAGCACGCAGAAACCCATGGAAGGTGAGGATTCCTTGAGCTACCAGGGTCTTGCATCACCCACCCCCTGCATTAACCCACTTAATTAGCAATGAATTAACGAGGCAGCAGCAGCGGTTCAGCCCTCACCTGGCATCAGCCCCCAGGTCGATGGGGTCCAGGAATGGGTATCCCCAGAGGGCGGCGTGCCCGGGCCCCAGCGCGGTGCTGTTGTGCAGGCAGAGCGGGCCCGTGCTCAGCCCCACGCCGCAGAGCACGAAGCAGGCGGCGGAGCCCAGCAGCGCCAGCTTGGAGAGCAGCACGGACAGCAGAGCCTGCGGGGACACACACGGTCAGGGGGGGACAAACCAGCTCAGCTTCTCTGGGACGGGGAACGGCCCTGCCCAGCTGTGCCTGGGGATGGAGGCACCGCTTGGGCGGCAGCGACCTGCAGAGCCCGTCCCAGCCCGCCCTGGAGCCCTGTGCCCTGGGGAGGGGACACCCTGCTGTGGCACCCTGCCACAGGGGACACCCTGCCATGGCACCCTGCCATAGGGCCACTGGAGAGCAGCTCCCTGTCTCAGGGCCATGTGGGACAGGGGCGCTCCACATCCCACCTGGCACCTGAGAAAGGGTCTGTGCCCAGCACAGGAGAAGGGGATCCGACACAACCCACCGGGGCCCGGGGACAGTCAGGAAGATTCCTGCCCTGTCCCAGGTGGGGCCAGAGGAGGATCCCTGCTTGTTCCACGGCTGGATCATGGCGCAGGAGGATCCCTACCCTGTCCCACCGCCGTTCTATGGCACAGGAGGATCCCCGCCTTGTACCACCCTGGGGCCATGGCAGAGGAGGATCTCTGGCCCAGGTGGGGCCACGGAAGGGGAGGATCCTTGCCCTGTCTGGGTGGGGTAGGGGGAGAGGAGGATCCCTGCTCTGTCCCATGGCAGAGGGGGATCCCTGCTCTGTCCCACCGCGGTTCCATGGCACAGGACGATTCCTGTCCTGTCCCAGGTGGGGCCACGGAAGGGGAGGGTCCCTGCCCTGTCCCACCGTGGGGCCGTGGCACAGGACGATCCCTGTCCTGTCCCAGGTGGAGCCAGATGAGGATTCCCTGCTTGTCCCACAGCAGGGCCATGGCACCGGAGGATCCCTGCCCTGTCCCATGATAGAAGAGGGTCCCTACCCTGTCCCACAGTGGTTCCATGGCACAGGAGGATCCCTGCCCTGTCCCATGGCACAGGAGGGTCCCTGCCCTGTCCCACAGCGGAGGAGCTGCCTCCCGCCCCATCCCCGCCGTCCCGGCTCCCTTGGCTTACGCTGTGGCGGCCGGAGCAGCCGGGGCGCTGCCAGCCCAGCGCCGTCACCTGGATCGCTGCCAGCAGCACCTGCGGGGACAGAACCGGAGCTGGGGGACCAAGGGGACAGAACCGGAGCTGGGGGACCAAGGGGAGCCGCCTGCCCCGCTCCGTGCCCCGGCCCCGCTCCGTGCCCCTGCCCCTCTCCATCCCCTGTCCCGTGGGAAGGGCGCCGTGCCCGCGGTACTCACGGCGATGCCTCCGCCCCAGAGCCCCGGCAGAGCGCGGGCGTGGCGGCCCAGGTGTCCCTGCAGCAGGTAGCGGGATGCTCCGCCCGGGAACAGCAGCAGGATGCTGGCCAGCACGGACAGCGTGCCCAGCACCAGCAGGCACGGCCCCACGATCCGGCTGCACTTCCCCACGCACATGGCCGTCCTGTGAGGGCACGGGGAGGAAGAGGAGGAGGAGAGGAAGGGGCTGCGTTCGGCCCTGCAGCGCCCCGAGGGTTCCCCACCCCGAGCCCATCCCGCAGCTGTGGGTGGGTGGGAGCTGCTTGGTTGTGCTTTGGGTGTCAGCCCACCCTGCTGGCACTGCCCCTACCTGAGGGAGGGCAATTCCCAACGGAAATTCCAATACTTCTTTGCCAAACGGCTGCTAGTGTTCCTACACCAAACCCCAAGACCTGTGTGGCTCTTCCCAAATGTGTCCCAGCTCCTAGCAGGGGGAGATGTTTTTTTTTGGTT